CTTACATTATCTGTGTAGTCAGAGACTCCCAGAAGCATACATAACCAGGACAAGAGGTGGCTAATAGCCTAAATGACCTCTGTGCTATCTGTATGACTTAGACCATGCCAGATTCTTCCCTAGGCCCCTAAGCTAGATCCCATCTTTTTAGAAGAAACAACCTGTGCTTCCAAAATAATTATGCCTCTCTCTTAGGGTTTGTATTGCTGTGAAGAGAGACCATGACCATGGCAACTCTTTTTAAAGAATGCATTTAATTGGGCTGCCTTACAGTTTCAGAGTTTTAGTCCATTGTCATCATGTTGGTAAGCATAGCAGTAAACAGGCAGACATGGTGTTGAAGAAAGGAGCTGAGAGTCTGCATCCAGATCTGCAGGCAGCAGGAAAAGACTGTGAGCCACTAGGCCTGGTTTGAGCTTCTGAGACCTCAAAGCCCACCTCCTAGTGATGCACTTCCTGCAACAAAGACACACCTGCTTCAACAAGGCCATACCTACCAATAGTGCCAATCCCTATGAGCCTATGGGGCTATTTTCATTCAAACTACCTTGTGCACAAGGGATTGTATTACACCAGGAAACTTTTTTCCATCTCCCAGTAGTTTCTACAAGGTTACTTTGCACAACTTGGCTTGGTTCAGAATCAAAGGGGGAGCAGGGCTACATTCTTGCCTGTCATCTCTGCTACTGGAGCTGGCTCACCAGAAATCATAATGTAATGCTTAAAAACTAGTCCCATTTCAAACTCAGTTTCAAACTAAGTTACTATGTACAAAAGAAAACCTTGGGAGTCAGGAGGACCTTATTCTTATCCTAATGACTGTCAACTGCAGGATGTATAGACCATGACCCCAAGGTCAGCTCCATCAGCACTTGAGTCTCCACAGAAATCTAAAAAGGAGATTGACCTCAGAGCCACCTGGGTTTCCTAAATTTGTTCTCCCTTTCATTTATTGTGTAATCATTATCTTAAAATATTAAACAGATGTTTATTTTGCTTTTGTAATCTCTCTTAACTACTGCTTGCTCAAAACAAAACAAAACAAAGCAAAGCAAAACATGATGATGCACACAGTAGAAACATTCTGAGTTGAGACAATTGTGATTTGTGCCTCTAAAAATGCTAAGGAGGATATTTGCCTCGAAGTTGATATAAATAAAATAAACCTTAATTTTTTAAAATTTTTTTTTTAAATTGAAAAAGTTGAGCTGAAGAGATATGGCTCAACCAAAAGTATAAATTGGCCAAGTTTTGTCTGGTGGACTTCCCTGAGGGTTTCGAACTCCACAGCACCAACAGTCTCTGGATCAGTACCACATCCTTTGAATTTCCATCAGCTACTCTTAGCTGCTGAACAAATAATCTTTATCCCAAGCACACCTTCTTGAAGGGAAAAGAACACATTCCACATGCTCTGAGATGAGAATTTCTCATCCTAGGACAAATTTAATCTCTATTATCTGAATTATTTGATAATTTATGTCTTTTCAGAGCTATTGTGCAGGCTTTAAAGACTTTCATTATCTCAACAGTGCAGCATTTGGCTCCCTGTTTTCCCCTCCAGGAAATATGACTCAACACAAATATTGCCAAAATTTGCCTTTGGTGAACCTGACAGACCTGTTGGTCTGTGTTACCTGATTTCACCTATGCTTGATTGCATTATTACCTTATGAACCAAATTTTTATGCCTATGTAAATCAATCAGATATGCCAAAGTCTTTCCTGTTTCTTTTTTTTCTGAATTTTTTTTACAATTTTTTATTTATATTACAATCTTGTTTTACATGTCAATCCCAGTTCCCTCTCCCTCCCCTCCTCCCTTGCCCCCCACTGACCCCCTATATCATTCTGTTTTTGCTTCCCAGGAAGGGTGAGACCTTTCATGGGGGATCTTCAAAGTCTGTCACATCATTTAGAGCAGGGCCTAGGCCCTCCTCCTAGGCTGAGGGAGTATCCCTCTATGTGAAATGAGCCCCCAAAGTCCATGCAGACACTAGGGATAAATATGGATCCACTACCAGAGGCCCCACAGACTGCACAGGCCTCCTGACACCCACAGTCAAGGGTTCTGGATCAGTCCTATGCTGCTTTCCCAGCTATCAGTCTGGGGTCCATGAGCTCCCCCTTGTTCAGGTCATCAGTTTCTGTGAGTTTCTCCAGCCTGGTCTTGCCCCTTTGCTCATCACTCTTCTCTCTCTGCAACTGGATTCGAGGAGTTCGGCTCAGTGTTTAGCTGTGGGTGTCTGCTTCTGCTTCCATTGGCTCCTGAATGAAGGCTCTAAGATGGTATATAAGGTAATCATCAATCTCATTATCAGGGAAGGGCATTTAAAGTAGCCTCTCCACTATTGCTCAGATTGTTAGCTGGGGTCATCCTTGCACATCTCTGAACATTTTCCTAGTGCCAGATTTCTCTTTAGACCTATAATGGTTCCCTTTAATATGATACCTCTTTTCTTGCTCTCCTGTATTTTCTCCCTAAAGATGACATCCCAATAAGGGGCTCTACAGGCCACCAGAGCTCTCTCTTCCAGCTGTGCCCAGAACACAGCCTCAGCTGTCCCGGTGAAGTGGGCATTAGGCATCTTATCTTTATGTCCAGTTGCCTGTATTTTCTCCTGACATCCAGAGATAGCCAAGTATTCCTAGTGTCTCATCAGAGACTGATTTCTCCTGCACTTCCTCAGGTTGTGCCTTTTTCATCTCAAGGAGAGTTGAGTATTTATATTGCTATTTCTGTTTCTGTGACACTCAGAATGATCCCCTCTGATGTTGCACAATCTCATGAGCTGTACCCTGAAAGCCCCGTGCATTGTAAAATTTCTCCCAATTAAACCAACTGAAGCAATTTAGAAGCCGAGTATAGCCTGGTTAGCATAGTTTTTTGTTTTGTTTTTTAACATTGAGGCCCCTAGGCCAACTAGTTTTATATCAACCTGACACAAACTAGAGTTATTTGGGAAGCATGCAGCGAAGCCTGTGCAGAAAGCTTAGCGTGGTGGTCCTGGGTTCTACATAAAGCAGACTGAGCAAACCATGAGGAGCCAGCCAGTATTAACACTCTGCATCAGTTCCTGGCTCCAGGTTCCTGGCTTGATTTCCCGCAGTAGTGGAGTATGACCTGGGAGTTGTAAGATGAAATAAACCCTTTCCTCCTCAAATTGCATTCTATTGTCTATCAGAACAATAGCAAGTAATTGAAATCAAAGCCCCTGTCTGCACGATGAATCATGTATTTCTCTGCACATTTTTGTGAAGATCAGACCCAAGAGGCATCTTCTATTCTCCCCTATCCCCATTATTCAGTTCTCACAGGTTCTAAGTTTTTAACCAGAAAGGGCTCTTTGGCATAGGTCTAATCTACATTCTCTTTCCATGGCATCTTTCAAGTTGCAAAACATCCATTTAATTCTCTCTTCCATATTTTTCTGTCAAGTCAGAGTCTAATAGCATCCACATGTCTTTACCCTGCAAACTCAATCTGGAAAGGCATCTGGGCTCAGTTGCATTTTTTTTTTTATCTTCTACAACAAAAGCCACACAACTGACATTACAGCCTTCTTATATCATACCAATTTTGCTACTTAGAGATTGCAATATATTCTGTATTTTATCAACAATTTAGGGGCATTTCTTGTACTTGCATGGTAGACACCATCAGGTGGGCATGTCATTCCATACCGTAAAAAAGGAAGATGAATATCTTGAGATTTTCCCCCCAAGGGTTCTTCATTCTCCATTGCAGTAAACATGCAACTGACAATATAGTAAAAAGGGACACCACCTCTCTTAGAGTTACCATTGCTGTGATGAAACACAGCAATGTTCCACATAACAGCTTGTAATCAAAAGCAGTGAGGGCAGGAACACACACAGGGCAGGAAGTTGGAGGCAGGGACTGATGCAGAGGCCATGGAGGGGTGCGGCTTACTATCTTGTTCCCTGTGGCTTGCTCAGCTTGCTTGCTTGCTTCCTTCCTTCCTTTTTTCATGACAGGGTTTCTCTGTGTGGCTTTGTAGACCAGGCTGGCCTGAAACTCACAGAGACCCACCTGCCTCTGCCTCCTGAGTGTTTAGACTAAAGGCATGAGCCATCACCATCTGGCTCAGCTTACTTTCATATAGAATCCAGGACCACCAGCCTAAGGACGATCATCCACTTCATGCTGGACCCTTCCCCATTGATCACTGATTAAGAAAATACCCTACAGGCTTGTCTACAGCCTGGTCTTATGGAGGCATTTTCCCAATTGAGGCTCCCTCCTCCTTGATAACTTTAACCTGTGTCAAGTTGGCCTTATCTTCCAGAGCAGAAAGGAAATGGGATGGGGATTGTGGGGGAAACGGGGAGGATAAGAGTGTGGGAACTGGGATCGACATGTAAAACAAGTTTGTTTTAAATTTAAATAAAAACATTATCAAAAAAAAAAAAAAAAGAATAGGGAAACTTGGAAGCTATAAATTTACACAAGTTTTATGTCAGCCACCATATGTAGTAACTTTTTCAAAGAAATAAAGATTGGAAGGGTTAGCAGGAACATAGGAGCATTCTTGGATCCTGAAAATGTTCTGTGATTATCCAGTTACAATAGCTGGTGGCATGAGTATACATACATAATATTTATTAAACTGTACACTTAATATTTGTATGTTTTGCATATATGTCACTTATATCTGTGTATGTACAGATAATGCTTAAATAAAAAAGCTATCCAACTTGATCTGGAGACAATTTTTTTCTATATCACTTTTATTTATTAGAAAAGCATTTAGCTTTCACTATGACATGCCAGCAACTCCTTACCTTTTGAGCTGCTGTTGTCTGTCTTTTGGATGTGGCCCTATTTCCGAGCCAGCCTGGAGCTGACAAGCATATTGTGAGGGTCACGCTTCATCACCATTGACAGCTGGAGATGCCAGCACATGCCTTTCTTTGGCAGAGAGACCCTGAAAAAAATCAAGCAGCGGACTGTGCTGCCTGCCCTTAGGCTGTGAGGCACAGGCCTGGAAACAGGAGGATTAAACAGCCTCTCAATTTAAAGAGACAAGGGGGAGGGGAGTGTGGGCTGCACAGTTTATAAATAGACACTGCTCCAAGCTGCCTGATGATGAAGTGGTTGTTTGGTAAATTTTTCTTTTCTAAGGATGCCATTGTCAGAGACCATCTCAGACACCAGTTCTGAGTAGTGTTCTGGGTGGGATTCAATAGATCTTGGGTTATACTTCTGTCAGGTTTCAGGGCACGCCTTTAATATTTTGAGTCACATTTCCATGGAACACAGAGATTGTGGTGATGATGATGATGATGATGTGTCTTTTGCCAAGTGGATGAGCAGCTTTTGGGGTCACAGCTGGAGAGACAAGGATGAGCGAGGACTCCGGGACCACCACCGACCACATGAAGCCAGCCACAGGAAGGCTTCCCTGCCCTGCCCAGTGAGTTACCAGGAAGTCAGGGGGAGTCGGAGTGGCAGGGAAGGGGGGTTCTCTTAGAAAATACTTGAGTGCTTTGGCTCAAATTAATATTTCCAAACCTTTGTCTATTCTTAAAAGAAATTCTTTTGATGTGTGTTTAAGTTGCCCTTTAAGAGGACTAATTTTTTAAGGTTCCAGTAATAGTGTCTTCATTTTCAGTAACCTAAGATATCATGAACTGTTAATGTTCATTGTCCCTGATAAATCAGAAATCATACCATAGAGTGACATTATATAGGCCCAAAGAGAGGAATTTGTAGCTGTTCTGTGTAGTTGTTGTGGGTCAATGTGTGGCTTCCAGTTTTGAAATAGGGAACTTAGCTCCTGTATAAGATGGTCTTTAAGGGACCAGAGTTCTCACATAGCAAATCACTGCCTTTGCTAAGTATAACACACTTATTCTTTTGGTTGCCATTGCTTGTCTGATTAGAGAAGGAACAGCCCTCACACCTTTCCTATAGCAGCCAGAGGCACAGGGCACAATGCCAGAGGGAAGCTCCCAGGAGAGGGTAGGCAGGCTGGGCCAGGTTAGGCTCGGGCAGAAGGCCAGCACACTCCTTTCTTCAGTTTCTGTGCCACACGGCCCCACGTATGCGTCTACTTCACAGGTACAACGCATTAATACTGCCGTTTCTTTTTCACTAGTCACTCAGAATTCCAGCTGGTAGAGACAGCGTACCAAAACCCAGGACAAAGTAAGCTCGTGGGTCAACCTGTTAAGGTCAGCTCCAGGGTCCCAGATACACAATGTTGTAAGGTAAAGTGTGCAAGGAATTCCTTTTACTACCATTGGTCAACAGCTGGGGAGGGATGAGGCGTCTCTGAGACACGAACATTTCAAAACAAGCCCCTACCACATACATGGTCCATGGGAGGTCAGTGGGAGCGCTTCCTCACCTCCATTTCCTTAGGTGAAGAACCAAGTAGAACTGGATGATGCCTGTGACACTCAGCTCCAACTTTCCACTTCTGTTTTAACATATGTGCCTGCATGGGGTGCTCGCACATAATCTCAGCACAAAGAAATTTTTCAGACCCAGTGAGGTTTTCAACATCTGTGAGCCAGGAGTACAATTAGCCTGAAATTTCCAGGTACAGGAACCAGGCAAAGATAATGAGAGAGAATTTGTGGTTTACTAGTTCTTGCCATGGCCGTCTAGTGTCACAGGGAGTATGGAAATGAATGCCACCTGCTTTACAAAGTATAGTTTCCCAGATAAACTTGAGTTTATTTTAATTCTAAACATATGTAATCGCTTTGTTTAGAAAATTCATGTTTAGTTTACATTCTTATTTTTCGGGTGGGGGACCACAGATTTATTGTCCACGGTATTTCTTGATGATATGCATAGAGTATATTCTTCTGCTTATGTCTAATTTGACCATTCCTTTTATTATTATTATTATTATTATTATTATTTCTTATTTTACATATCGATCCCAGTTCCCTCACCCTCCCATCCTCCCATGCCCCCAACCCCCCCCCCGCCATCCCATTCCCCACCCACTCCACATGTAGGGTGATGCCTTCCAGGAGGGATCATCAAAATCTGTCAAGTCATTTGGAGTAGGCCTAGGCCCTCCTCCTGTCTCTAGGTTAAGGGAGTAACCCTCCTTGGGGAATGTGTTCCCAAAGTACTTTAGACAAGAACAAGAAAGAGATACCATAATAGAGGGGGGCATTATAGGTTTGAAGAGAAAACTGACTTTAGAGAAATGTTCAGAGACCTACAAGGATGACTCCAACCAACAATCTGAGCAATAGTGGAGAGGTTACCTTAAATGTCCTTCCCCAATAATGAGATTGATGACTAACTAATATGCCATCCTAGAGCCTTCATCTAGTAGCTGATGGAAGCAGAAGCAGACACCCACAGCTAAACACTGAGCCGAACTCCTGGAATCCAGTTGCAGAGAGGGAGGAGTGATGAGCAAAGGAGTCAAGACCAGGCTACCGAAACCCACAGAGACAGCTGACCTGAACAAGGGGGAGCTAATGGACCCCCAGATTGATAGCTGGGAAACCAGCATTGGACGGACCGACTCAGACCCCCTAAATATGGGTCTCAGAAGGCCTGGGCAATCTAAGGGACCTCTGACAATGGAACTGGATGTATCCCTGGTGCACTTTGTGTCTCTTTCCCCCCATCAAGACCAGTTTGCAATTTGTGCTACTCAAATGTTCTTGGATGTGTGGCTTTCCACTGCAGCTTGGTCAACCTATCAGAGGTGACACTATTGGAGAAAACCAACTTTTCCTCCTCCAACAGCTAAGACTTGTCAGTAGTTACTTGGTTAGGGGTGGGTGGGATATCATGCCCACCACCCCTGCCCCTTATTCTGGGATTTGGTTTATCTTGAGCTTTCACAGGTTTTTGCATGTTGTCATAACCACTGAGTTCATATGTCAGCTTCTCTACTGTGACTAGAAGACAGTTTCCTTGGAGTCATCCACCACCTCAAGCTCTTAAATAATTTCTACCCCCCTTTTTATAGTGACCCTTAAGCTTTTGAAGGGGGAGGTGTGGCATATATATTCTATTTAGGGTCTCAGTGTTGGTTATCATCAGCAGCAATCAGAAGCTTCTCTGATGAAGGATGAGGATGCATTAATCTATGAGTATAATGATAGGAGTTAATGATTAATAGTAGTGGTTTCTCTCCTAGGGTCTATGGTCAGTCTAGTAATTGGTTCCTGTCCCAGTAAAAGCTTCCCTCCAGGTAGGGGTTTCTTCTTGGTAAGGATGTCTCTAATCCAATCAGAGAGTAGCTGATTCCCTGTGACATTCACCCCTGTGACATTGCACCAATGGTCATGCCTTGCCAGGTCAGTTGTTATTGCAGCTCATGGGGAAACATCTGGGTAAGATTAATAATTATTTTTCTTCTTCAGTAGCATGCCTTCGGGCACTGTGAAAACTAGCCAGTAGGGTATAGCTTCCAGGTGAATACCAGCTTGATGTGTTCATATTCTGTGTCTCAAGCATGAGGTGATCTCAGCAGTAGGGCCTTACTATCAAGTTCTGAACAATATTGGTTTTTCAGTTTTTTGTGTTCTGTTTTAATCTCAATGAAAATAATCAATAAGGAAACGCATTCTTCCATCCTCCTCTTTTTTCTCCTTTCTCCCTGCTCTACTCAAAACCTCTTCCCTCTCCAAATCTAAATAATCTCAATTCACTGTTACTAAATGAATAGGAAGAGCTTTCTCTTGCTTGCCTGTTTGGAATATGCTTTCTAATCCATCTTTATCAGTCTTGTGATTCAACAGAAGAGTGATAGAAATTTAATTCATTCAGTGTATTTATTGAACACATATTTTTTCCATGTATTGTGCCAAACATGGGGATTATGAGTTAAAAATAGACACACATGGTCTCTAATGCTTGTGAAAATTTTAGTCTAATAGGAAATGTAAACCGTCAGAAAGAATGAGGTGCAATCAGAGGTGAAAGTCAGTCCTTCTCACAGCACATGGCTTTGTGTTCAGACTTAACCTGTGGCCCCTGATTTAAAGACTTGAAGAAATCTAGCTTTAACTTATTGTCGAAAGTGGAAAAAAAGAAGGTAAAATGAAGCCTGTTATATGTTCGGCCTTCTCTTTCATCATCACAGGGATGCAAAACAGAGGTAAACTTGTTTCCATGTCAACCATTTGTTCTGCTTGTACGGATGCATTTCTAATAGCTTAGCGGATCCAGTAGTCTACTCACCTTCACAGCTTACTATAGTTATTGCACTCTCGTTCTGCATCGTCTGAGCCCTGTGAGAGGGGCCTTGCCTCACATCACTTGGAGAGGAGACTGAGTGCCCTGACCAATGAAGAATCTTCAGTGCCTTCATGCGTTAGGGTAGACACCATGCATGACTGCCCCTGTGAGGTCATTTGAGGGGGACAAACAAGTTTCTACCCATCTTTTTTCTTTCTTTAGAACATATTTCTCTATTTCATATTCTTTAGACATATTTCCAAATTAAAGTAGTAAATTCTCAAAATTTTACTCTTTGCCCATGATGATCCCAATGGTGGTTACATACTCATTTTCCTGTAGCAGGTCTCCTGTAGTTTTTCACTAAAGTGTATGCTGGGACTGGACTCCACAAGGGTATCTCTCAAAAAGCTGGAAAGAAAAGCTGCTGCAATATTTTATGATTGGCAGAGAATAGCTTCTCGTTTTTTACATTGTATTCATATTCAATTTTAATAGGTAGCCATTCTGTAACTCAAGGGAGGGAAGGACAACAGTGAAGCTTTAGCATAGTGCTCTGTGACTTTTACTCTTCTCTCTAGGATGCTACAGAGAGGGAGAGAGTGTGACAGGTTTGGAGGGAGCTCTTGCTGTTGCCTTCTGGTGTGATATATTATTTATTATTTATTAAAGCTTGACTGGGGATTCAGAAAAGCAAAGTCAGCCACAAGCCATAGAAGCCAGGCACACACTTTTAATCCCAGTAACCAGAATCTATGAGATGGTGGCACACATCTTTAATCCTAGGACTCATAATTAAGTAGACGGATCTCTGAGTTCAAGGCCACCCAGATCTACACAAGAGGGAATCAGTCTAAAAAAAAAGAATTACAGCTCACATCTTTAAACCCAGCATTAGGGAAATATATAAGACAGAAGCAAGGTCTCAGTAGGGCATTCATTCTCTAGCCACACTAAGAAGAGGCAGCAATTTGAGACTTGGTGAGGAGCTCATGCATGGATCAACCCTTTCAGCCTGAGCTAGAGGTGAGAGCTAGTGGCCAGCTGCTTTGCTTCCCTGATCTTCAGCTTGAACCCCAATCTCTGTCTCTTGGACATTTAATTTTCATGTTACAGTCTTCTGCTTCCACTGGTAGTGTGGCTCCAAATGGGGTCCTTAATATCTTTGCTCAGATTCCCATAAATGGGACTGGTGGTAGTCATACTTCCCTCACAAAGGTACCATGACATTCAGTGACTAATGTACATAAA